GAGAAAGAAGTAATGATGTTAGATAAATTTCGAAGTGAATATATCATTCATTTTTATGGAGCAGTATTTATTCCTAATAAAATATGTATGATAACAGAATATGCAAAATATGGATCAATACAAGATTTAATTAATAAAAGAACAAACACAGAAATACCAAATAAAATAAGAATTAAATTCATGATAGATGGAGCAAAAGGAATTTCATATCTTCATTCAAATGGAATATTACATCGAGATATTAAACCAGATAATTTTCTTGTTATAACACTTGATGATAATATTGGAGTTAATTGTAAATTAACAGATTTTGGAAGTTCAAGAAACATTAATATGATGATGACAAATATGACATTTACAAAAGGGATAGGATCACCTACTTACATGGCACCAGAAGTATTGAAACGAGAACATTATAAAATGGAATCAGATATATATTCATATTCAATAACAATGCTAGAGATTATTACATGGCAAAATCCATTTCCTAAAGAAATATACAATTTTCCATGGGATATTGCAGATGCAATCACATCAGGTAAACGACCACCAATAATACAAGAAGTTGAAGAAGATATTAAAGAAATTATTGAAAAAACATGGAAACAAGAAGCAAAAGAAAGAATAACAATAAAAGAAGTAGTAAGAATGTTAGAAAGAATTGAAAATAAAGAATGAAAACAACCATAAGAGAAATAGAATTAATATATTTCATTTAATTCTATTAAACAATTTAATTTTATTAACATATTTTATCATTTTATTTTATTACAAATAATGAAATGAACAATAAATAAATTAAAATAGAATACATTCATTCAAAATAACTATACAATAAACAAAATGAAAAATAGAAGAATAAAATATGATAAATAACAAGAATGAATACATAATTATAAATTATATTATAATAAATTTATTTTAATTATATTTGATAGAAATATTAATTGATTTATGAATGAAAGAGATATTAATTAAATGATGTATTTTTTATTTTAATTTTATTATTGATATTGTTTTTATCTTCTTTTCTTTTAATTATAATTTTCATATTTATCATATAATTTAATTAATTTGTGAATTGAAGATACAATATCAGAAACATAACACAAATAATAAAATGAAATTAAACTTCTAATATCATTATTTATCATTATTTCTTTTATTAAAAAAAATAAATTGTTGTTTAATTAATATGATTATTGTTATTCTTCACATCATTGAAATACATTGATGATGTTTAATGATATTTTATAATTCAATGAATTAAATGAAGAAGATTTAAATTGTAGAATATGAAATAAGAATAAAACAAAAGAATAAAATGAATAATAAAAATGATAATAGATTTAATGATATAAATTCATAAATAAATACATCAATACAATGAATATTAATACAATGAATAATGAAGAATAAAATAATTATAATAAAATGAATTATCAAAACAATGAAATGATGAATATATAAATAATTATCATTATTTAATTTATTTATTATTATTTCTTATTTAAATATTCTTTTATTCATATTATTATCATATTTTATTTCTTTATTCTCTCTTTTATTTCTTATTTTATTTATTATTCTTGTTTATTATTTATTTCTTTCATATCTTCTTTTCTTTATTTTTATTTTATTAATTTCATTTTCTTGTTTCATTTGATTTATCATTGTTTATTCTTTTCTTTATTCTATTTATGTTCTTTATTTATTTATCATTAT